TCTCAGTGTCTGCCATAATGTCTCCCAGTGTCCCTTAGTGTCTCAGTGTCTGCCATAATGTCTCCCAATGTCCCTTAGTCTCTCAGTGTCTGCCATGTCTCCCAGTGTCCCTTAGTGTCTCAGTGTCTGCCATAATGTCTCCCAATGTCCCTTAGTGTCTCAGTGTCTGCCATAATGTTTCCCAATGTCCCTTAGTGTCTCAGTGTCTGCCATAATGTCTCCCAATGTCCCTTAGTGTCTCAGTGTCTGCCATAATGTCTCTCAGTGTCCCCTTAGTGTCTCAGTGTCTGCCATAATGTCTCCCAATCTCCCTTATTGTCTCAGTGTCTGCCATAATGTCTCCCAATGTCCCTTAGTGTCTCAGTGTCTGCCATAATGTCTCCCAGTGCCCCTTAGTGTCTCAGTGTCTGCCATAATGTCTCCCAGTGTCCCTTAGTGTCAAAGTGTTTGCCATAATGTCTCCCAGTGTCCCTTAGTGTCTCAGTGTCTGCCATAATGTCTCCCAATGTCCCTTAGTGTCTCAGTGTCTACCATAATGTCTCCCAGTGTCCCTTAGTGTCTCAGTGTTTGCCATAATGTCTCCCAATGTCCCTTAGTGTCTCAGTGTCTGCCATAATGTCTCACAGTGTCCCTTAGTGTCTCAGTGTCTGCCATAATGTCTCACAGTGTCCCTTAGTGTCTCAGTGTCTGCCATACTGTCTCACAGTGTGCCTTAGTGTCTCAGTGTCTGTGTCATAATGTCTCCCAATGTCCCTTAGTGTCTCAGTGTCTGCCATAATATCTCCCAATGTCCCTTAGTGTCTCAGTGTCTGCCATAATGTCTCCCAGTGTCCCTTAGTGTCTCAGTGTCTGCCATAATGTCTCCCAGTGTCCCTTAGTGTCTGTGTCTGCCATAATGTCTCTCAGTGTCCCTTAGTGTCTCAGTGTCTGCCATAATGTCTCCCAGTGTCCCTTAGTGTCTCAGTGTCTGCCATAATGTCTCCCAGTGTCCCTTAGTGTCTCAGTGTCTGTCATAATGTCTCCCAGTGTCCCTTAGTGTCTCAGTGTCTGCCATAATGTCTCCCAGTGTCCCTTAGTGTCTCAGTGTCTGCCATAATGTCTCCCAGTGTCCCTTAGTGTCTCAGTGTCTGCCATAATGTCTCCCAGTGCCCCTTAGTGTCTCAGTGTCTTCCATAATGTCTCCCAGTGTCCCTTAGTGTCTCAGTGTCTGCTATAATGTCTCCCAATGTCCCTTAGTGTCTCAGTGTCTGCCATAATGTCTCCCAGTGTCCCTTAGTGTCTCAGTGTCTGCCATAATGTCTCCCAATGTCCCTTAGTGTCTCAGTGTCTGCCATAATGTCTCCCATTGTCCCTTAGTGTCTCAGTGTCTGCCATAATGGCTCCCAGTGTCCCTTAGTGTCTCAGTGTCTGCCATAATGTCTCCCAGTGTCCCTTAGTGTCTCAGTGTCTGCCATAATGTCTCCCAATGTCCCTTAGTGTCTCAGTGTCTGCCATAATGTCTCCCAGTGTCCCTTAGTATCTCAGTGTCTGCCATAATGTCTCCCAGTGTCTCAGTGTCTGCCATAATGTCTCCCAAAGTCCCTTAGTGTCTCAGTGTCTGCCATAATGTCTCCCAGTGTCCCTTAGTGTCCCAGTGTCTGCCATAATGTCTCCCAGTGTCCCTTTGTGTCTCAGTGTCTGCCATAATGTCTCCCAGTGTCCCTTTTTAGTGTCTCAGTGTTCGCCATAATGTTCCCCAGTGTCCTTAGTGTCTCAGTGTTCGCTAAGTAATGTCTCCCCAATGTTCCTTAGTGTCTCAGTGTCTGCCATAATGTTCCCGTGCGTCCCTTTAGTGTCTCCAGTGCGTTCCGCTATGGCAATGTCTCCCAGTGTCCCTTTAGTGTTCCCAGTGTCTGTCAAGTAATGTCTCCCAGTGTCCTAATGTCTGTGCGTGTTCGCCATAATGTCTCCCAGTGTCCCTTAGTGTCTCCAGTGCGTTCATAATGTCTCCCAGTGTCCCTTTAGTGTCCTTCAGTGTCTGCCATAATGTCTCCCAGTGTCCCTTAGTGTCTCAGTGTCTGCCTTAATGTCTCCCAGTGTCCCTTAGTGTCTCAGTGTCTGCCATAATGTCTCCCAGTGTCCCTTAGTGTCTCAGTGTCTGCCATAATGTCTCCCAGTGCCCCTTAGTGTCTCAGTGTTTGCCATGTCTCCCAATGTCCCTTAGTGTCTCAGTGTCTGCCATAATGTCTCACAGTGTCCCTTAGTGTCTCAGTGTCTGCCATACTGTCTCACAGTGTGCCTTAGTGTCTGTGTCATAATGTCTCCCAATGTCCCTTAGTGTCTCAGTGTCTGCCATAATATCTCCCAATGTCCCTTAGTGTCTCAGTGTCTGCCATAATGTCTCCCAGTGTCCCTTAGTGTCTCAGTGTCTGCCATAATGTCTCCCAGTGTCCCTTAGTGTCTCAGTGTCTGCCATAATGTCTCCCAGTGTCCCTTAGTGTCTCAGTGTCTGCCATAATGTCTCCCAATGTCCCTTAGTGTCTCAGTGTCTGCCATAATGTCTCCCAGTGCCCCTTAGTGTCTCAGTGTTTGCCATGTCTCCCAATGTCCCTTAGTGTCTCAGTGTCTGCCATAATGTCTCCCAGTGTCCCTTAGTGTCTCAGTGTCTGCCATAATGTCTCCCAGTGTCCCTTAGTGTCTCAGTGTCTGCCATAATGTCTCCCAATGTCCCTTAGTGTCTCAGTGTCTGCCATAATATCTCCCAATGTCCCTTAGTGTCTCAGTGTGTCATAATGTCTCCCAGTGTCCCTTAGTGTTTCAGTGTCTGCCATAATGTCTCCCAATGTCCCTTAGTGTCTCAGTGTCTGCCATAATGTCTCCCAGTGTCCCTTAGTGTCTCAGTGTCTGCCATAATGTCTCCCAATGTCCCTTAGTGTCTCAGTGTCTGCCATAATGTCTCCCATTGTCCCTTAGTGTCTCAGTGTCTGCCATAATGTCTCCCAATGTCCCTTAGTGTCTCAGTGTCTGCCATAATGTCTCCCAGTGTCCTTTAGTGTCTCAGTGTCTGCCATAATGTCTCCCAATGTCCCTTAGTGTCTCAGTGTCCGCCATAATGTCTCCCAATGTCCCTTAGTGTCTCAGTATCTGCCATAATGTCTCCCAATGTCCCTTAGTGTCTCAGTGTCTGCCATAATGTCTCCCAATGTCCCTTAGTGTCTCAGTGTCTGCCATAATGTCTCCCATTGTCCCTTAATGTCTCAGTGTCTGCCATAATGTCTCCCAATGTCCCTTAGTGTCTCAGTGTCTATATCGCTCCCAGTGTCCCCTTAGTGTTCAGTGTTCGCCATAATGTCTCCTGTGTCCTTAGTGTCTCAGTGGCCAAGTAATGTCTCCCCAGTGTCCCTTAGTGCTCCCAGTGTTCGCTATAATGTCTCCCAGTGTCCCTTAGTGTCTTCAGTGTTCGCTATAATGTTCCCAATGTCCCTTAGTGTCCCAGTGTCTGCCATAATGTCTCCCAGTGTCCCTTTGTGTCTCAGTGTCTGCCATAATGTCTCCCAATGTCCTTTAGTGTCCCAGTGTCTGCCATAACGTCTCCCAATGTCCCTTAGTGTCTCAGTGTCTGCCATAATGTCTCCCAATGTCCCTTAGTGTCTCAGTGTCTGCCATAATGTCTCCCAGTGTCCCTTAGTGTCTCAGTGTCTGCCATAATGTCTCCCAGTGTCCCTTAGTGTCTCAGTGTCTGCCATAATGTCTCCCAATGTCCCTTAGTATCTCAGTGTCTGCCATGTCTCCCAATGTCCCTTAGTGTCTCAGTGTCTGCCATAATGTCCCTTAATGTCTCAGTGTCTGCCATAATGTCTCCCAGTGTCCCTTAGTGTCTCAGTGTCTGTCATAATGTCTCCCAGTGTCCCTTAGTGTCTCAGTGTCTGCCATAATGTCTCCCAGTGTCCCTTAGTCTCTCAGTGTCTGCCATAATGTCTCCCAATGTCCCTCAGTGTCTCAGTGTCTGCCATGTCTCCCAATGTCCCTCAGTGTCTCAGTGTCTGCCATAATGTCTCCCAATGTCCCTT